GCGCTCCGGGCCCACCCCGGCGGCCCCCCAGCTGCTCTGCTCCCGGCTTCCCCGATTCAGCTGCTGGTCAGTTTCAGCAGCAGCTGAATGGAGGAAGCCTGTCCGGCTGCCCCAGCACTTCCGGGTTCCTGATGGTGCCAGACCATCAGGAGTCCCGGAGCATTGGATGCCAGACTAATGGAGTTTTACTGTAGCAATGTGTCTCACGGAAGCTAGAAAACCAGATAGTTTCTGTAACACAAACCTGTTGGGGAACCTTTTAACTTGCCTGGGCACTCATTAATGAATCTAAAAGTGTCTATACCCTTACAAAGCAATTTAAAAGAATAGCTGGAGGGAGAAGCTGCGGAACTGGCCTTCATTTGCAAATTTGACACATTTAATCATGAACTGGATGGGATGCTATATTCAACACTCTAATGACATCAAAATCTAAGTATCGGGCTCTTTTAGCCTCATTTAGCATGGACACTCTAATTGACAAGATTTTTTCCTTTCATCCTCTTTTTCTGCTGTTTATTTGTACCTCTGGACCCCTTGCTCCATTTATGTGAAGAAGTGGGTTGTGCCCATGAAAGCTCATGATACTATCTACATTTTTTGTTAATCTCTATGGTGCTGCAGGGCCATTCATTGTTTTTTAAGTTTTTTCTATAACACATATTATAATAAACTCTAGCACCATCTTGTGCTGGACATAGGAAAAAGCTGATACACTTACCCTTCTTAACCTGATTGAATTTATCAGTCACTAATGTTTTTGGCTGAAGACTTGTTATCAGATCAGATGATCTGAATTTACAGATTTTGAATACTGCTTAATCATAAGTTTTTTCAATTAGTTAAGGAAACAAAATCTCAAATTACAGTCTGTAAAAACTACTGTCTGCGGGGTAGGGGGTTGGGCAGGGAGAAATAATTGATTCCACTTTCAACAGGACTAAACCTGATGAAAAAGGAGTGGTGTTACTTTAACAAGGGTTCTGAGGGGAAAAATGTAAATGCTGAAGGCAGATTTAAAAATAATAAGACAAAGTGCTAGAGGTCTGTGAAATGTGGTAGCTTGGATTCTTAAGAGGTTTAGTGAATTCTTCATTTTGATTCATGCCTCCAAGTCC